GGTTTTTGCTGTTACCTTTTCCAGCTCTAGTACAGGAAAAAACTGAGCAGACTTACAGAATAACAGAGATAATAGACCACCACAACCACTTAATTAAGCAGATGTGACAACCCATACTATATAACAGGATGCAGAGAAACTTGTCTGCACATGTGGATCACTTTTAATTGAACTGAATACATCCCTGATTCTTAGCAAAACATCAAAAGGTCTAATTTCAGTATGTTTATAGTATATCTTCAATAAAAGCAGAATATGAGAATGCATTTGTACAACAAATCTTTCCCAAATATTAATTGCCTAACAGGCCAAAAAAAAACCTTTAACCAAAATGAAATCAAGAGTTAAAACAAGTAGAATACATTGTTAAGTCAAACTCCATTCTGTAACTCTATTCATGTAGTTTTCTTGGCAACTTTAAGGAAGTGATCTACCATTTCTTTTTCTAAGAATTTTTTAAAAATTGTCAATCTTGTCATCAGCTGTGAAATAATTAGAGCAGCTACCCATATATTAAGAATCAACTCTGCTTAGCTTCCAAGATCACTCAAGGACAGCTAGATTTCTGCCACTCACTGAGATAATTCAAAAAGCATCATTTAACTAAGTGACTTTCTTTAAAGCATACAACTTGTAATGCCGCTTCCAATGAAACATCCTAAATATGTTTTATCATTAAAATGACTGGTACAATGTATACTTTGAATTTATTCCATAAAATGTATTGGGAAAAATCCTATTAAATATAAAATTAAAAAGAATGAATACAAGTGTAAGACCTGTGCAGTTATCTGAATTCAAAAGGAAAAATGCAATTCAGTGGTATCCATTAATTCACATGTAGCAGAAACTTTTTAAACCTATGTCCATTTGTATGCACTGAGACATATTGTACATTTTGAATCCAGATCTATGCAGAGCCCAGCAAAAATTATTATAGGGTTAATTTACAGCAGTTTGATATAGTGCTTAAATTGCTGTCTAGAAATGAAGAGACTGTGAGTTCTAATCCTGCTTTAGGCATGAAACTGGGTGTCCTTGGGCCAGTCATTTATTCTCATCCCAACACATCTCAAAGGGTTATTGTTGCTGGGGGAAATAAGAGGAGGAAGGAGTATTATGCATGTTCCCCACCTTGGGTTTTTTATAAAGTAATAAAGGTGAGATAAAAATCAAATAAACATAAACATATCTTTATATAATGTGATTATATAAAGCTATATCATATACCAAAGTTAATTTATATTATAAAAAGTGGTGCCCAACTAAATTGTAGTAAGTAACTTTATGTGCTTTCTATTTTAGGGGAATACAGCCTCCATCAACAACATCCAAATATGACCAAGGAATTTGAGAACTGTGGTCCAAAACATCTGATGGGTATCATTTATTGACTTCCTGGTATAATACACCGAAGATTTAAATCAGAAAGCTGATATTGAAGTTACAGTTTTCCTAATTTGTTTCTAAAATTCTAATTATACCACTTTTACAAATGACTATTACTTTCACATGAGTATATCATTTTGATATTAGAAATATCTAAATTTAAAATGATACCCTACATATAATCATTTTTCTTTTCAAGTGACAACATACCATGGAGTACATTCGCAAGTACCGTATTTTTCGGAGTATAAGACGCACCTTTTTTACTCAAAAGAGGCTGTAAATCTGGGTGTGTCTTATACATCGAATACAGCATTTTTCCCTCCCAAAGCCCCACCCCCTTCACCAAAATGGCCATGCATACCCTTATGCTTTCAGAGAGCTCCTGGGGGCTGGGGAGGGCAGAAATGAGCAAAAAATGGTCCATTTTTGCTCCCCCAGCCCCCAGCAGCACTCTATAAGCCTCCATAAGGCTATGCACGCAATTTGTTTGACAAAAAACGGGCCCGCTTTCATGAAAAACAGGCCAGTTTTTGCTGGTTTTTGCCCCATCCCCACCCTCAGCGGAACTCTGTAAGCCCCTCAAGGCTATTCATGCCTTTAAAAAAAAAACAGGGCCATTTTTGCAAAATACAGGCCATTTTTGGGAGGTTTGCAGAGTGCAAAAACTCCCCCCCCCCTTTGGAAAGCTCTTTGATTGATTAGAATTACATTGATTAAATGCTGTGCCATCAGAAACAAAGTCTTAGGTGCTGCAGATTGTCAACAATTTCCTTCTCCAGCACATGGATAAATACATCTGGAAACATCTACCTACCTACCTACTCTCTCTCCCTACCTACTCTCTCTCTGTCTCTCTGTCTCCCTCCCTCCTTCTACCTACCTACCTACTCTCTCTCCCTCCCCTACCTATCTACTTTATTTCTCTATCTCTTTCTATTTTTCTCTCTATATCTACCTACCTACCTACCTACACACACTCTCTCTCCCCCTACCTACCTACTGTATTTCTCTCTCTTTCTCTCCCTCTACCTACCTATTTAAAAATTTGCCTCTTCAAAACCTTGGTGCGTCTTATACTCCAGTGCATCTTATACTTCGAAAAATACGGTATATAAGCTAGGCATAAAAAGAATCGAGATAGCAATCCTTGATAAGCAAGAAACAATTTTCTACATTAATACATAACCACAAATAAGTTAATATATCAGTAGAATGGTCTAGTTTAATCTTAGTATTTAAGACTATTTTCATATTTTAAAGTTGCACATTGGTATTCCTACATAACATGTACTACCACTATTCCTTTCTATTTTTCTGAATGGCATTCAGAATCTCAGCTTCTAGCTTAATACATTTTTTTCCTATGAGAAAAAGAGAAAAGGCAGTTTTACATGAGGTATTCAGATAGACTATCCTATTTTTCTCTTCCCAAAGATTTACTACAGAATTGTAAAACAAAACTGCAAAGAATCTTCCTAAAAACATCTTTATGATTTATCAACATTTTACTATGCTACATTACCCATGCCGGTGCAGAAGTGGCTGCTCTGAGATTGTGATATTTTGCCCCATCAAATCCTTACAGAGGTAACTCAATATATAGATATGCATCTCTTGAACAGGTAAAGTAATATAACTCTATTTTCATTTTTAACTCAGAGTAGCTATAGAAAACATGCTTTAAGGTAAAAGGCTAGGGGGCCTTTTCAAAAAAAAAAATTAAACATAACATTTCATCTATTAATTTCGCTCTGGAAAAATACATTCCGTTTTTTAATGTTATAAACCGTTTCCAAGCCCTTGCTACTTATTTTCAAAATATTCTTTTATCTCTGCAACTAAGTAATTAATTCAATTGGGGACCCCAGCATGCCTTCAGGCAACCTAAATTTTTTGTCGTTTCTTCACTCCCTCTAAAGAATAACGTAATCCTTGTTGCTGCTGCTGCTGCTTCTCAGGCTAATATAATAGGACGCGACGCAACGCAACAGTCATTGGATTTTCGAAACGCATATAATTTTTGAATATGTCAGTCACTCTGCTATCGCCGTGGCACAACTTCACAAAATAAGGAAAGGAAGAATAAAATAATTTTTTTAAAAGTCATGGGGAATCTTTCGCCGTCTTTTGCCAGCAGACAAGACACCAGCTTATTCACTCTCCCACTGTTTCTGGAGCAATTCGGATAAATAATCGGACGGGGAATGGGAGTGTTCTTTGAAGGGACGTTGTGTTCCTCCCGGGGGGGGGGGGTGTCAGGAAATTCGAAATCGTCGGACCCCAAGGCGAGAGAGAGAGAGAGAGGAGAGAGATTGACAGCAACGTCGATCCGGCCACTTCCAAGCCATCAACCAACACCAGGCAGCTTCTGAGTTGTTGTCCCACACAGTTGCCTATATGTTGGGGGTCAACCCACAATTCACACTCAAGACCCGAGCAATCCGCAGGGAGCCGATTTGGCGGCTTCCTCTCTCTTTTAACCTTTGACTAGTATAGAGAAACGACGTAATAATATTCGGAGCGGTTAGGGAAAAGTGGGGAAAGCGGTGGGGAGTTTCTCCCACGTTAACCTGACAAGTTTCTTTTATATATACACATACATTACATACATACATACATACATACATACATACATACATACATACATACATACACGTATACACACACACACACACACACACACACATATATATAAAAGAAAGAAAAAGAAATTTCCTTACCGTCATATATAACAAGCCTCGTCCTTCCAGAGAACGGCAAACGAAGCAAAACCAACCAACTCAAAAGCCGTAAAGGTTACCCAAAAAAAGTGGAGGGGAGGAGGAGGAAGAGGGGGGTATCCCCCCCCAAAAAGGGCGAGTTCAAGCCCTCCGCTCAATTCAATTTAGTTCTTGTGCCTCCACGCAGCAGCAGGCCGAAAGGAATGGGGGTCTCCCGCAGCCGTTGCCCCCAGCGCCCCACTCTCAACTCAGGGCCCCCCCACATTCCTCCTGCAAGCAGAAAAGGCGAGGATGGAGGGAAGGAGGGGGGGCTGAAGAGGAGACGCGGAAGGCGACCGGGTCTTCCCGCTTTCCCAGCCACGGGGGGGGGGAGGGGGAACCGAGCGAAGAAGGTTGGAGGGGGGAGGGTTCGGTCGTCACCTCCCTGAGGGAAAAAGCACCCCCCCTCTTACCCCACCCACCCCCCAAGGAGGATTTCTTCTCTCGCTTCCTTCTCCTGGAGCCGGAGGGTGAGGGAGGTGGGGGGAGGCGGTAGCTATCCAGCAGGGCAATGCCTGTCTGCGCTGAGGAAAGAAGATTGGGAAGTGGGGGGGGGGCGAGGATTGGCAGCAATCGCGGGTGCTGGTGCTGGTGCTGCCGCCGCCTCCTCCTCTGTCTTCCTCCCCTCCCCAGAGCCAGCCTCCCTCCTTCCTTTTTTTCTCCCGCCTGCCCTCAGACAGGCAGCAGCATAGCAACCAACATGGCAGCTGCGCAGTCACCCAGTCGCGAGTGGACCGGCCGGGAGGGGGGGAGCTCTCGCGAGAGCTCCCGAATTTCTACCTCCTCTCCTCTCCTTTTTTTCCCCTTTCCCGCAGGACGCGCCTTCTTTCGCTGGGCCTGGTGGTTGCTTTGGCTGTGGGTCTGCCGCGGAGATTGGATGTTGCTTACCTGAAGCTCCGCCTTTTTCCTTTTCTCTTCTCGGCCCATTGGTTGGCCAGAACGTCTGTTCTTGTCTGAAGAACTTTTAAGCAAAAAAAAAAAAAAAAAGCTTTTCCTTCGGCCCAGGCCCGAATTACGATTCGGGCTGCTCCGGATGGTTTTGTAGAGTTGTAGCATTTGGGGAGACCTTGGGGGGGAAAAAATAAGGAAAAGGGAGATTGAAGGCGCTTATATTAAAGAACAGAAGTGACACCTACTGGTATGTCTGAAGAGGGGGCGACTCTTCGAAAATGTGTATTTGTTTAGATCCCTGTATCGTACCTGTGTATCGTATGTTCGTTTCATTATTGGATTGGGGGGGGGGGGGTTCCAAATAGAAGTCTAAAAATTAGGAAAAGCAATTTAAATATATCCATTAATTCTAAAAAATAAAGTTCCGGCTTCAATTCAGTATTGGTCTTTCAAATCCACTGTATTAAGATTATGTATTTGAATTCAATTTTCTAAAGTTATTTTATATCCCCATGATCATTTCCTTTCAGGACTAATGGATAAACAATTTATAAACAGCCATGGAAGGTTATTTCAATATATGATTACCGCAGCAAGATTATTACAGGCACAGAAATGGAAAGATTCAACTCTACTCGCTGGTTGAAGTCGCAAGATTTTTTGAAAGGAATAAATTCTTTGATTAAAGATATTATCTACGTTTATCGATGACTGGAAACTTCTTACAGACTTTTTGCATAAAAATTTTAAAAAGGAAATTGTGATGTATGATTTTGATGATTAGAGAGTTTAGAAGATTATAGAAATAAAAATTATGCAATGTACGTTGGGAGAGAGAAGTTGAAATACAGGTAGACCTCTACTTATAAATACAATTGAGCCCAAAATTTATGTTGCTAAGTGAGATATTTGTTAAATGCGTTCTGCCCTATTTTATAACCTTTCTTGACAAACAAGTGAGTCATTGCAGTTATTAAATTAGTAATACGGTTGTTAAGTGGATCTGGCTTCCATAGGGACTTTGCTTGCAAAAGTTGATCACATGACCCCCCAAAAACACGGCAACTCTCATAAATATGAACCAGTTGCCAAGCATCCAAATGTTCATCCTGTAGCCATGGGGATGCTGCAACCATCATAATTGTGAAAAACAGTCACTTTTTTCAGTGCCGTTGTAACTTTGAACGGTCACTAAATGAACTGTTGTAAGTTGTGGACTGCCTATATAATCTTCTGTGAAGATTGTAGGAAGCCACTTCTTTATATCTGGCTTTTCTGTTTCTTCAACTTTTTCTACTGTTTATTATGCGTTTTCTTTCTTTTTCTCTTTTGTTCCTGTGTTAGTTTTATCTTCTTGTTTAAAATATGTATATTTATATATGTAAATATATATAATATAGATATATAATGTAACACAACAGTAGAGAAGTAAACACTTCATGATGCAGTCCTATAGTCTTTAAATTGTTTAGAATTCTGAAGCTTTGTTTGTATTAAAACCTGTGTCTTGTGTAGATACTTATAGGATTAGCCCCAGGACACATAAATTAAGTCTTCAGGGGATCATTTTTATGTATGCAAAACTGAGCAATGAGGGCACCCGCCCAATACATGCAGCCTTTCCTTCTCTTTTCTTACATAGATGAGAGCAAAGGTTCCTTTCGCAGACATAAATACAATGACTTTTTCCATTCATGGATGTACACACTCATAATTTGTCATATGGATGCAGAGTCTTTTTCCATAATAAGGGATAACCCTTCTTTCCCTTCATTTCTTCATACTCATAATATACATATGGTGCATATGCACCTCAGTGGGAAAGGCAAAAATAAGTTGACTTCATGGTAATCATTGTTTTGGGGCACTCCTGGTGTCTTATCACTAATGAATTTTTGGCTACTGCTCTACAAATCCTCAGATGGAAGATGTGTAGCTCTGAATCAAAAGATATTGTGCAGCGTATCTGTTTTTCTCTTCTTAAAGGATTTTCTGATGTAATGGGTGTGTGTGTAGTGAGAGCTATGATATTGTTAAAAATGGGAGATGAAAATGTTTGGAGTCCTCTCTCTGCCCCATTAAGGTCCTTAAGTTCTAAAGACAATTGCCAATAAAATTCACATCCCAAAGTACCCATGTTGCTTGGAGAAGGGTAATTTTCCCCTGGTATTTACTTCAATGATAGGTAGAGGCAGCTGGAATGAAAACCTGTCCAGTATGCAGAAAGAGGTAGATCAAAGAGGGCAAATTGTGCATAAAAACTGTGCGTAATGAAGAATTGCAGACGAGATGGTGCAGATTGTAATGGTTTAAGGGGAAAAAACAGGGAGAAAACATAGAATGCTGCTGAACAACTTTGAATAGAAAAAAACCCTACGAGTTCTTTACTTTGTTGGATTTGGAAGAGGACCAGTACCTAATGGAGATCTTGAAACAGTAAAACTATGAACAGGTTTTTTTTTTTAAAAAAATGTTGACAGCCGTGTCCTATACCAATTGAAGACCCCAAACCATTTTGAAAACACTTATTTCTAATGCTTTATTTTAAAAACCCACCAGTTTTACAGGGTATTTATAGGGAATTAGCTAGAGAATTATCGGTGCTTCTTGTGTTAACACTGGAACTGTGGAATGTGATACATGAGTCATGCAAAAAGTTATGGGTTGTTTAAAAGGTTCTTGATTGCAAGGTATATATATCATATCTTTTAGTAATTGGAAAAATCCCTGACATTTTCTTCATAAAACTTTTTTAAAATTGGAAAATAGAGCAGTCAATCATAGGAAGCTCCTGTGATACGGTAGTATATGATTTCTCCCAGCACCACAGTTTTATGTTTTTGAAAACCTATTTATTTACTTACATCATTTCTATACTGCTGAGTCTCCAAGGTCTCTTGACAGTTTACAGAAATTACTCATGAAACATAGAAACATTAAAAAAAAATCCTATCCCTAGCAACATCCAGCATTCGGTAATAACTCCCTTCTTTCTCATTAATAAAAGTTCTGCGAGGGTGTTAGGGAAGGCCAGATCCTTGGAGATATGTTCCAAAATACTAGAGTATATCTAGAAAAATACATCAAGTTCTAACTCCTTTTTTTCTGATTTCACTGGCAAGGATGCTCAGTCAGCATCCTCATTTTGGCTGAATAAACCAGACCAACAAGCTTTAGCAAAAGCAGGCAGTTCTGTGCATACTGAAGCACCAAGGTGTAAAGTTTAAAGAAGCATTTCAAATTGTACCCTGAAACCTATTGCCAACCAATGCACTGCTCAGAAAACCAGAGTTATATGGTGCTGATGGCTCTCAAACTTACACAAATGAACCACTGCATTTTGTACCCACTGCAGCATTTGGGTAAGTCAAATACATTGCAGGAATTGATGCTCTAGGAAGGACTAGCTGCTATCTCTGGGCACAAAGAATTCCATATTTATTGATTCATTTAATGCACTCACTAAAAATGAGAGAGAGCAGCCTTAATTTAATAACTCTGTATACAACAGGTCAAATTTGGCCTTGTTCAAATTTACCCAATAATCTTCAAAACAAAAAATACAAGAATCTGGGTTAGGTTTTACAAATATATATTCACCAGCATTCTACCTGTTTAAACAAAACAGCATTATTTGAAAAAAGAATAGCTGCCCTGCATAAAGAAATTAAATTAAATGATAAGGCTGTTAATGCCCTAGCTGCACTTCCTATTTGGAACAGGTTATTCAGGTGCAAATGCAACTCATTAAAGCAGGTGTATCTATTTCAGGATTATGATACTGTGGAGAAAACCTTGCAGATAGTCCTGGGGGTGTGTGTGATTGCATTAAGGAATTGCATTATTGCATTCTGAAGGGTTCCAAAACAAACCAGCATAGCCTTCTCTCTCCGATACTACCTTTCCATGCACTAGATGGAGAAAGCCAGTCTCTATATAAAATAATGTTCTCCACAAAATAGGCCACCTACATAAGCAGTTTAAAAGTAAGGCAGCTATTGATGAAAGCTACTTTTTAATGAATTACAATTATGTTTGCTGGTAAGAACTCAGTTTAGTACATTCTCTGTTGATGATCTTGTTTAACCTTACCATGAGTCATCCTTTTGGGCTAGTAGCTGGTATTTCATAAGCTAAGAGATACTATCAGTTTTGCCCAACCTTTGCATAATGCATTAATAATATGTAGGCTGTTTGGAAGTGTTCACTCCTCAATGTCATGAGTTGTAATTTTCAAGCTAAACTACACAAAAATATAATTATAACTGAGTGTATTAAACTCAAGTGGATCTTTCTGTATGGAAAGCTGCATGCAAAACAGGAACAAGGCTGAAAAAAAGCAATTCAGAAATAGCATGGCATTGCCATAGTCATATTGTTGCATGTAAATGATTTAAACCTTCAGTGGTTTTATTAGCTAGGAAATAATTATATAGTGTTTCTCCCCTCTCCCAGTACTACCATCTACTACTATCTTGGCTGTATGACTGCACATTGCAACTGTCTCCTGGGTGGCAAGATTCTGGCAGCAGTTTTGATCAGAGATCTTACTTTTCATAGAATAGCTGTGAGGTTTGTGGCATGGGTACAACTAAGGCTGGGAACTAGTCTGCGCTTCTCTGAATTACTCCAAAACCAAAGGGTGTAGGAATGTGGAATGTGGAAAAGAACGGTGTACAGCTGTTTGATAGATTGTCATTTATTGGATCTAGCATATCTATGAAATTTGTCAAAATTTGGGGCATTTTAAAAAATATCTTAATATTGGTTTTTTTTGAAAAATATCATTTCTTTTAAGCATCTTGGACTGTTTAATCTAGTTGATATAATAGGTAGTTAAAATTCAATTATTTATGGTAAGAATAAATAATAAATATTATATCTCTAATAATAGTCTAAGGAGGATCCTTATGTTAATTTTCCTGACAGTAGATATTTTAAAAAGATTGTTAAACAGTTACAAAGATAGTCCTTTGAGGGTTTTTAAAAAAAAATCTAGACTGCAACTTCTGTGTGTAGATGGAGATGCCCTTTTGTTGGAAACCAAGTGATTTTGGACACTACACACATGAACCCTCCTGTCTTGGGGGAAACTTAGTTCTCCTTTCAACTTCTTTTCTGAAATTAAAGATTTTAAGAGCTATATGGAGCACTTAGGGACAGAAATGATAAGTGTGTCTATGAAGAGATATGTATCATTTTGGTCACCCTTAAAAAATACAGATTTAGAAGATAGGACAACCACAATGTTCAGAGTTGGCATAAATCTCCTGAAAGGAAAACCTATAGCAATTGGGTTTCATTAGCTTGGATTGAAGCTGAAGGGAAGCTATACCATATAAGATCATATATAGCATTAATTACAAGAAAATTTTCCTCCATCTCTGACAGTTTTGGAGCTTGGCATATCCATTAGATGATTTTAAAAGATTATAGGTAGGTGCAACAGTGACCAAGCCATCAATGGATCTAGCATATCTATGAAATTTGTCAAAATTTGGGGCATTTTAAAAAATATCTTAATATTGGTTTTTTTTGAAAAATATCATTTCTTTTAAGCATCTTGGACTGTTTAATCTAGTTGATATAATAGGTAGTTAAAATTCAATTATTTATGGTAAGAATAAATAATAAATATTATATCTCTAATAATAGTCTAAGGAGGATCCTTATGTTAATTTTCCTGACAGTAGATATTTTAAAA